GGCTCTTTCATTCAACGACCTGTTCATTCGTTCCGCAACACCATTCTGTTGTGGTGTCTTGCGCACTGTAAAATGCCTCTGAATCCCATGCTCCTTACAGAATTGTAGGAACTGTGAATCTGTGTACTCCGTACCATTGTCAGACCGCAAACACTTGATTTTTCGTCCTGTTTGGTTTTCTACCTCAGCTTTCCACAGCTTGAACTTCTCAAAAACTTCAGATTTCTGTTTCAAAAAATACACCCAAACTTTCCGTGAAAAATCATCAATAAAAGTAACATAGTACCTAGATCCACCCAAAGACGATGTCGTGGAAGGCCCCCATACATCAGAATGCACATAATCAAGAATCCCTTGAGTTGTGTGCTTCGCAGTCTTGAAACGGACTTTAGTCTGTTTACCAAGAACACAATACTTGCAAAAGTCGAGCTTACAGCTTTTGACACCATGCAACAAGTTTCTCTTGTGTAATTCTGCCATACCACGTTCACTAAGATGAGCAAGGCGCATATGCCACAATTTTGTCGTATCATCACAGGACTCAACAGAGTGAACTCCACCTGCAACGGTACTCCCTAACAATATGTAGATATTCCCTGCAGTCATCTTGCCTTTCATCACAGTCAATGCTCCTTTAACAATCCGAATGGTTTCCCTATCCTCGTCAGCCTTAGGGATAAAACCATTCTTGTGCAAAGTGCCCAAGGAAATCAAATTCTTCTTCAAGTCTGGGATATGTCGAACACCACTCAACATCCGAACGGAGCCATCGTGCATCTTAATTCTGACATCACCAATACCAACAATATTGCAACATCGATCATCACCCAAATAAACCGAACCAGAATTAACCGGCATGTATGTCGAAAACCATTCCCTATTTGGCGTGATGTGATAAGAACATCCAGAATCAAGAATCCAAGCATCCGTCAATTGTGTCGTTGAAATAGAAAGCATATCACCCTCACTGCAATCAGAATTATCATCCTCGACCACGTTCACAGACTTGGATGAGCCATCACGCTTCTCATCAGTCTGCTTTTTCAACTTCGGACAGTCTCGCTTCATATGTCCCGCCTCCTTGCACTTATAACAGTGAATCGTCTTCTTATCCCTGGATTTAGATCTGGAATTCCGCTTCCCGGACCCTGCCTTCTCTGGCTTCCGTCCACGATCTCGATTACCCTTGACATATAAGCTATCGGCTTGAGAGCTTTCCCCTGCATTCTGCTTCCGCTGGTTGAGCCAACAAGGCTGCAGTAATCTCCTCAACATTGATAGTCTCTTTCCCATATGTAAGAGTAGTCACCATGTGTTCGTAAGAGGAAGGTAACGAACACAACAGAATCATCGCTCTGTCTTCATCCTCAATTTTCACATCAAGCCAAGCCAGATCAGAAACGATTTGATTGAAGACATTCACGTGTTGCGCCAAATCGTGATCGTCCTGCATCTTCAGCCCATACAGCCGCTGCTTCAGATACAGTTTTGTCGTTAAGGATTTGGACATAAACTGACTTTCCAACTTCCTCCAAATTTCGTCTGGAGACGATAGATGCATGACGTGATACATGACCTCGTCCGCCAAGCATAATCGTATGGTTCCTGCCGCTCGCTGCTGCAATTCTTCCCAATCTTCCTCATCCATCGACGCCGGCTTTATAGGTCGCAAAGCCTTCAAGATCCCTTGCTGCGCCAATAGATCCTTCACCCTCGTTTGCCATAATCCGAAGTTACCCTGACCATCGAATTTCGCGACTTCGAATTTTGCTCCTGACATCTGATACCAATTGTTGACGAAAACGGGTAAAGAAAACGAAAGAACACGAGAATTTTACGAGGTTCGGCAATGTGCTTACGTCCTCGGTGCCTAGGCGGCGCTAGAATTTTATTCAATGATATTTTAGGTCTAGGTTACATCTCTATTTATAATAGAAAACCCTGGTACATAATTACAAAATCAACCCTGTACCGTACCGCGGGGGCTGCGCCCCCACACCCCCAACCCACATAATTCGTAACCCCACAACGAGACTTTTTATGAGCCATACATAACAGAGGGGGATGGGTGACTGAGAGAGTTGGCTCAGGTAATAATGGAGTGCACAATAATTTGTGAATAATGGAAGGCGTGCCTCATGATATGCGCCTTCCCTGCACGTGTCAGATTTTCCAACGAAGGTGCCCTTTATGATCCGCGCCTTTGCTACGTGTCGTTAGTTTGGACAGAACCTCGCAAAGGCGCTCTTCATATTTCTAGCTTTTTCACCGTGGCGTCAACTTGAACAAAATCATGGGAAGGCACGCCTCATGATCCACGCTTTGTCAGAAAAGGTCTAGATCGATTAATATTTGGAGAAAGAATGTCTGACAGGTAATATTTGGTTGTTAGGGTGTTACTTGGGTAAAATTGCCGTGAATGACCAAGTAATGTTAACCGTTTCAATAGGGTCAAGTCTAGCTAATGAGAACAAAGCTGAAGTAAGCGGGTGAGATAGACAGGGTTGACCCCATCATGCTGTTCCCTGTCGTGTCTTCTTTGGGGTGGTGAGATGAGATCTTTTCAACCTTGAGTAATTCTTGGGATGGGATGGAACCCAATTCTGTTTTGACATTGTAATATTTTCAAAATTTTGATTATGAGCAGTTAAATAGAATAAACTTATGCTCGTCCTTTATTTGTTTTAGTTCAATGTACCACCAAAACCAACGTAATTTTCTTACAGCATTGAGATTTCATAGTTCGAAATAGTGATTAGAGGTTGTTTAGAGTAAAAATCACATTTTCAGCATATGTTCTCTTTTATGGACTCGTAGGCATGCAAATGGAGCAACTCATGCATTTTTAAGGATCATCTTATTACATGCCAATTATATTGAATGAGCATCGCCTCCCATAACTTTATCTCTTCTTAATGGTGATACAATCGCTATGTGATTTGGTACTATTTGATCAATATAGATTTGTTTATTTTTAAAAATAAATGAAATAAAATTTAGTTATAAGTTTTTCACATTTATATGAACTCAAATAGGATACGAGATTATTGATGATTAGTTGATCTAAAGAGACAAGATGTTAGCTAGATTCATTAAATATGGCAAACGATTAACATTTTAAATAAAGAAAACTAAATTAAAAGAATCATTCTTATGACAAGCATTACAATACGTATTTTGAATTAGTTGACCTATGAGTCATAAATTAAAATTTTGTTTTTGTTTTTTTAATTTTCACATAATTTTAGTTTTCAAATATTATTTTTAGAATTTTAACCAAATACCAACCCAAAATTCAAAAATCAGTGAAATCTAATCAAATGGTAAAATTCACCTATCATGCCTCACTTATTATTAGAGTTTCATTTTCATCCATCACATTTCAAAATGATATATTTTTCATCCTCAACCTATTGAAATGAGTTTTACCATTCGTCCTTTTCTGTTAGTCAATTGTTAAATATTGGGCTAAAATCTTTGAACTTTATAAGTAATTCCAACATAGCCCCTAAACTTTTTGTGTCCGACAATATTTTTGAAATTTGATAAATATTTACTATACAAATGAAAGACAATCAAAAATAAAAAAAAAAGACTTGCAGCTTAGTTCAACAACAATTTTTACTCTAAGGGTGCGTTTGGTTCACGGAATGTAAGATTACCAGTGGGAATAAAAGATTACCAGGGAATAGGATTACTGGAATGTCACATTACTGTGTTTGGTTAGTTTGGCAGGAATGTAAGATTACAGTGTTTGGTTGAAGGAATAAAAGATTACTGGAATGTATATTTTACCAAATTGTCCTTGTTCTATATTTGTTTTTTTAACAAGTGAAATTCTAAATATTTAAATAAAAATTATTTATATAAAAATTCTATTTTTTGATAATATATTACTTGAGTATTTAAATATATCATGTATTATTTTAATTTTAATTAATATTAAATTGTACATAATTTATGTAAAAAATATATTAAAATGAGTTTTTGTTATGTAACAAATGAGATAATTCTTGAGTAAGAATACAAATGTAAATTAAAATTCAAACCCTGTATCTTTATTTTGAGGAATTATGATTATCAGTTTTTATTTTATTATAACGAGAACCATATTACAAAATGTGGCTAGTTAATTCATTAAAATCTTCTTGGATGACTGTGTAATCCATAAAAGTGTTCACATGAATATATTCGGTTGAACAAGATGACAAATACAGTGTAATGGAAGTTCATAATCTTAATCCCACATGAAGATATGAGTTTTTGTTCACTTGATTCTTGGTTTGTTAAAATAAATTTATTTAACTTCCTCAAAGAAGGGAATTACTTTTGTTTTGTTTTGTTTTTGAATAAAGAATCAGCTATCAAATAAGTTAAATAATTTCACGCTCACTTCAAACTTATCAATTAATTCAACAATTAGAAATACAAAGAAGCAGTTGCAGTTCATGTTTACTTTTTCTCAGACCAATAAACATTTGTCAATGAAAACATGTGTGGCCACGTTTATGGCATACAGTTGAATGTATTCAAAAGGAGATAGACTAGTGCTTCTGGTAGGAACAACAGTTAATCAACTTAAGCTACAAACTTTCTGATTCAATTTTGCTGTCGTTTCTGAACTGTAAAGTTAAATCAACAATCATGAACATAATTTTAAAGAAACATCTGCACATCATGTTTATTTACTAAGACTAAAAAATGGAGCAACCAGAATATCAAATCACTCGGATTAAGAGTTAAATTCCAATCCAATTCAAAAACGAGGCCTCCGCTTCTTATAAAAAAATTCCAATCCAATTCACATGGGTAGGTGTTACCCAGAGTTTGACATGCCTTTTTATTTTAAACCATAAAACCTACTAATAAGCATGATAAGAAGAGTTATACTTTTTCCTTGAAAATTTTAAAGCACATACTGACAATTACAATTCTCATGAGTTGCCTCACTTGTCACCTCTAATGTTGTCCAAACACATGAAAACACTAAATGGGCATGCTTAATGAACAAAGCATTAGTAATAAGCTAAGAAAAAGCTTACACTATAAGCATTCCAGCCTGGAACAGATACCATCCCTTGGGGTAAAATCAAGGGTGCATAACTTGATGGACCTTGCCAACGGGGGCTAGGAATGAAAGATGCTCTTGACCAATTTGTAATTCCTCCTGGATATGACTGCTGACCAGGAGTGGCTGGAGAAGGGATAGTTTGATAAATAGGATAGCCACTCAATGAAACCATCATATTAGTTGGTTGAGGATGGTGAAATTTACAAGTGCTCCCGAACTTATATTGTCCAGTTCTTAGATAATAAACACACTCAGTCTCGTCCTGTATGAAGGAAAAAGAAAGCAAGTTATACTAAGACTATGAATCACCAATTACCACACAAAAAACTATATGTATCATTGAAGAAATACAGCTTGCCAACAAGGTCCAAACTTACATAACAACCAAACAATATTTTTAGGCTAAAATGGTCCAAACTTACATAACAATCCATATTTAAAGTTGAAACCAATTTCGTAACTCAAAACTGAAAAGAGGAAAGCCTCTCTTTGAGTAATAGCAAGTGATAAAGATTTTAATTTATCATCCTTGACTATATATGTGCATTTTTCATATTGGTTCTAATCTGGATGCCATTAATTTCCGGGTTCTTTTTCAATTAATCCAATTAGAAAATTGTATTTTTTTCGTTTAAAATGAAAAAGAGACAAAACTGAAACCAGAAGGACATGGATATTGACATGATCTTGCATCATTTTAAAATTGTATTTTAAGGAGTAAAAGGAAAAAATAAAATCCAAACCGGGCGAAGAGGGTAGCCCAAAATATTTAAGGAAACTCTCCCAGCTATCGCTGCTTTGTCTCTAGGATGGTGAAACTTGCATGTAGCTCCAAATTTGCAAGTTCCTGTTTTCAGGTAGTACTGCAGAGCAGTTAAGAGGAAAACGTCAGTTGTTGGATCTGAACATATATGAAAAATGAGAACCAGAGAGTCCTATAATTGGACACGATGCAGTAAAACCAAAAGATTAGCTTCTATCGAGATCGCAGTTTAGCTTCCAATGCAGTAAAAGCAGGAGTCAGTTATCCAACCTTTGCAGAATGGAAAAGAAGAAAGCAAATACTAGAAGAAGTCAGTCTCCTAGTCAAGTTAGCAGTTCAGACTAAAGTTTGACTGCTAAGTCAAACCACTAGAAGAGAAGTAAACCTTTTCTCAACCCAATTTATTAGCATATTTCTATCTTCTTAGTTTCTTTATTTGTTTATTTCCTTATACTAGGATCAAGTCAATATTCCATCTGTCTTTATGAATCGCTTTTGACAACAAAAACCTTTGAGGCAAAAGCAGAGACAAAGGAGGAAGAAACCACATACAATCTTTATCATCAACAATCTATGTTGGTTATACTATTATTTTCAATAAATTTTCCTTTAACCTAAAATTAGTCTCACTCTATTCAACATTCAGCAGGATTTGTCCCTAAATCTGAAACAATCCTTGTTTCATTATGAACAAAATTAAAAGTAGCAGGATTACTCATTTAATTCTAGTGAATTATCTATATAGATGTGAACAAATTATGCACTGCAAAACTAATGGATCCAAAAGTGAAATCCATAAAATTGTGTATTTTGTGGACAGAAAAATGAATAAAGCACTGTAACATTATGAAGCAAAGTCAGAGAAAGTAAAAGATTCATGTGATTTCTAGATCCTCACGAAAGAACTAGTACTCACAGTAAGCTCAAATCAAAAGCATGGAGGTCGAATTAAGGAGAAGTTGTTGAAACTAGACTACCAGGAAAAGAATCAAAAGCAAAAGAAAAATTAAAAGCAAAGGAAAAATTAAAAGCAAAGGAAAAGAATCAAAATCAAAAGCAAAGTAACATTACTGGGAAATTAAAAAAAATGAGTGGAGGAGAATCTTACAAGAAAAAATTCTCAGCAAAGGAAATTGGACAGAAGCGAGGTCACAGGGAGAAGATGAGAAGAAAGGGTATTTTAGCCCAAATGCCTGGGAATAAATAAAAACCTATGTAATATGTGGGAATCACATTCCCATTAAAAAGGTAAAAAAAATTACTGTTGGCAATGAGATAATACCCTCAAGTGGGAATCTTTCCCATCCAAACGTGAGTATAACAGCCCGGGAAAAGAAAATTCCTACCAGTAAACAAGATTTCCACGATCCGTTTGGTTCACGGAATGTAAGATTATCAGTGAGAATAAAAGATTAAAAGAGAATATGATTACTGAAAATTTTGTATTTTGTGTTTGGTTGGTTTAGCAGGAATGAAAGATTATTGGAATGTATATTTGACCAAATTGTCTATATTATATATTTGTTTTTTAACAAGTTGAAAAATATTTATATATTTTCTTTAAAAAAATTAAATTCATAAAAAATTATATAATTTTTTTAATAAAATTGAAAATATAAAAATGTTTAATGAAAGGGTAAAATTTTATTTTAACTCCTGAACTTTATATAAAATTTTAATTATATATTTTTTTTGTAAATCTAAAATAGTTTAAAGATAATTTTATAATTTAACATTCGTAGAATTTTTATTATTTAATGACAAAAGAATAATATTTTTTTAAAAAAAAATTTAAGGATATTTTAATAAAAAACACCGATAATACAACAATATATAAAAAAAGAAATAATAATATTCTCAATAATATATTAAAAAAATTTACTATTAATAATAAAATATTATAAAAATAAAATTTTCTGCCAACCAACCATAAAAATATAAATTTTATTCGGATGAAAATTTCACATTCTCATGAACAAACAGGTACTAAAAAGATTAGTAGATTACCATTGCAATTGGCAATTTGGCCGTTGTTTATAAACGAGTTTATTGCAATCATTTACTTCCATTTTTAAAGCTTCTTTGTCACTCTTTCCCATCTTATCTCTCTCTTTTCATCATTAAATTGGTCCGTTCAATCGATCGCCGGAACTTCATCTCCGTTACACGAGCTGCCAACATTCCGGCGATCTTCCTTTCCCCACGACTCTTTTCGAATTTTTGATCAATTAATGGTGATAAGAAGCCAATCCTTTCCCGAAAATTAAAAAAAGTAAAAGGAAGAATCTCATGGGAATGACCGTTCCCCCTTCTGTGATCTGAATTTATGAATCTCTCCTTATCCATTTTTGAATTTAGTTTCTAGGCAATTATGCCATGCATTCCGATCTATTGAAATCTCAAAATCACCGTTGTCGACTTCCGAATCCCTGGCTCCGTTAGTCAACCTAATCCTTGTTATGTTTTTTATTTTTTGGGGGGAAAGATGTTGAAAAAAATTATCAAAGGGAGCAAGAAGCATTCCAAATCGGATTCAATGTTAATGGATTCTGGGTCCCGTCTACCAGGTTCCGGTACTATCTTGTCGGATCCAACACCAAATATGGTCGTCAACCACGCACCAAGCACTAATTCCAGCAGCCATGTGGTCGCACTCCCACCCCCGATGACCACCGTCGAACCCTTGCCGTTATTACGAGACGCCCCTGTTTCGGAGAGACAAAACCTACTCTTGCGAAAATTACAGATTTGCTGCTTCCAATTCGATTTCGTAGATGTCCTAAAATCGGCCCGTGAAAAAGAAATCAAACGGCAAACGTTGCTGGAACTTGTCGATTTTATTCAATCAGGGTCTAGCAAAATCACTGAGATATGCCAGGAAGAGATGATTAAAATGGTCGGAATCAACATTTTCCGGAACCTTCCTCCAGCGTCTCACGAAAGTACGGGGCAAGTAGCCTCGGATCCTGAAGAAGAGGATCACTATTTGGATCCCTCGTGGCCACATTTACAGATTGTATACGAGCTTCTTTTGAGATATGTTGTGTCTCCTGCTACGGATACTAAGGTCGCAAAGAAATACATTGATCATTCATTCGTTTTGAAGTTGCTTGATTTGTTTGATTCGGAGGATATCAGGGAAAGAGAGTTTTTGAAAACAATTCTTCATAGGATTTATGGTAAATTCATGGTGCATCGACCCTTCATTAGGAAGGCCATAAATAATATTTTCTATAGGTTTATATATGAAACAGAGAGGCATTATGGGATCGGGGAGCTTTTGGAGATTCTAGGGAGTATTATTAATGGTTTCGCAGTGCCTATGAAAGAGGAACATAAGTTGTTCCTTGTGAGAGCGTTGATTCCTTTGCATAAGCCGAAACATATTGCCATATACCATCAACAGTTGTCTTATTGTATTACACAATTTGTCGAGAAGGACTATAAGCTAGCTGATATAGTTATCAGAGGGTTGTTGAAGTATTGGCCATTGACTAATTGTCAGAAGGAAGTTCTCTTCCTCGGGGAACTTGAGGAAGTACTTGAAGCAACACAGTCTGCAGAGTTCCAACGATGTATGGTTCCTCTTTTCAGACAGATTGCACGTTGCCTCAATAGCTTACATTTCCAGGTAACTTTTAAGGGCTTTTATTTTATCTTTTGAATGCTTCACTGATTTTGCAAATTCCAATAGCTTGAGTTGTCAATCACCGTTAAGAACCAATGGCATTTTGAACTGTCGAATCTTGAATTGTTGCTAGGATGTGATGATAAATCTTATGAACTTTGAGGTATATTTCTTTTGAATATGTCACTCCAAGTATGCTAATTCCAATAGCTATAGTAGTCAATCACCTTTAGGAACCAGTTGTATTCTCAATTGTGGAAAGTTGAATTGTTGCTAGGGTGTGAAGATAAATAATATGAACATTTAAGGGCTTGTCTTTTGGATATGTCACTCTGATTATGCTAATTTTAATGGTTTGAGCAATCGGTCATCTTTAGCAACCACTAGTATTCTGGATTTTGGAATGTTGAATTGTTGCTATGTGCTAGATGTGAAGTTAAATCATATAATAGTAATTAATTTTGATGCCAAGTTGTGAGCTTATGATATTTCTCCTTTATAAATTTATGGTCTTCCCATGTAATTTCTTGTAATTCTGATGTTTATACCTTTTTTTCTCATTTCTGTTTTGTTTTTGGAAAGTTGTGCTATGTGTTGCCTAGTTTTGAGCATTATATTTGCTTCAGGCTGGCTTCATTCTTTCTGTATCCAGAAGAAATAACTGTAGAGTAAGCCAATGCTCAATTCACTAAGCTAGCCTCTACTTTCTCCCACACTGCAGTTTATCTGTGTTTGTTTGACTGTGCTGCTGTTTCCTGGTTATATGTTGTTTGAGACTCTATCAAACATCAATTATTTCTTCTTTGTGTAATGTCTTGCATCATTGATTTTCTATAGCCATCCTCTTTGTTTGTATATAATATTTTATTTCTATGCGAAAGTTATTGTTAGAGCTTATGAATAGATATATGACGATCCAAAGGTCAACTTGTGGTTTAGAAGTTCTTTCTGTTGTTTCATTTTAGGTGCGTTCTTTCATTTTCTTGTATAGCTGCTCCTCATGTCATATTTTCACCAATCTGGAATACACTTCCTTCTCAAAAGATGTTCATTTTAAGCACATATGCCGGTTTCGAGATATACGACTTATTGCTTGGTTCCATAGATTGCTTTACAACCCTTGCCTGTAAATTCTAGATATTGTGTCCTTATCATGACTGTTATAAATCTTCAGTCTGGTGTTCCTTTATTGATTTATTGCACTACAACTTTTTTGCTTATTCATTTTTCCTTCATATTGTATTTGGTAGGGGGGAAATACTTTCTTTCCATCTTTTCCTTTGGTAGGAGGGAGTAGAAAGGGAAGGAAAATGGTAGATATGTACCTTTATCTTCAAATCCGATCCTTCAACTTAAATGAGCAATTTATTTTTAAATTTTACTCCTTACCTCTTTCTTTCCTTATGTTTTCCACCCTTGATTTCAAACTCAGTGATAGAAAGATAATTTTCCTTCATCTCCATTTTTTTTTCTTTCATCACTTATTTCCCTTCACTTTATCTTCCTTCCTATCATGCATAGTGTCAAGTCTTGTAGATCGCATTTTGCCTCGAATGCCATATGGTTGGAATATAGTTCTTAACTGATCTTGTTTAGCTAAGTTTCACTTGTGATGGATCTCCTTTTGTCAAGGAGGATTGGGTAAAATATGCCATATGGTTGGATAGTTCAAAATTGGTCTTGCCCAGGTAAGTTTCTCCTATGGTGAATTACCTTTCATAGAGGATATAATTTTGGACTTGTTTTTGTTCGCTTTGTTAATAAGCTCGCTTTATTAATAAGCTTTCAAAGCTCGCTTTATTAATAGGCTTTCTATTGTGCTGCTTACAATTTAGAATTGTTGGAGAGAGCCGGCTATAAGTATTTTTGGTTTCTTTAGAACTTGCTTTGGATATTTGTAATAAGATAGAACTTTCTTATAAATAAGACCCTGTTGTGTTGCAGGTTGCAGAGAGAGCTCTCTTCTTATGGAATAATGAACACATTGTGAGCTTAATTTCCCTGAATTGTCAGGTGATATTACCAATCATATTTAAGGCATTGGAGAGGAATACCCGAAGTCATTGGAATCAGGCAGTTCATGGTTTGACCGTGAATGTGCAGAAGATGTTCATGGAAATGGATGCAGAGTTGTTCGATGAGTGTCAGAGAGAGTTTGCAGAGAAAGAAGCCAGAGCGCAAGAGGTTGAAGAGCAACGAGAAATGACATGGAAGAAACTGGCGGACGTGGCCGCAAAGAGAGGATGACGCTCATGGAAATGGATGCAGAGTTGTTCGATGAGTGTCAGAGAGAGTTTGCAGAGAAAGAAGCCAGAGGACAAGAGGTTGTAGAGCAACGAGAAATGACATGGAAGAAACTGGTGGATATGGCAGCAAAGAGAGGATGACGCAACATGGTAACAGTCTTAACTATTACTGTCGGTTTGTTCAGCATAGAAGTGATTCGTTTTCCTTTCTCCATTTTGGTGGTATTCTTTTTCTTTTGCAAAAGTTTCTTCTTTTGAATTTTATTTTTGTTGTCAATCTGATCGATGAAGATACATTTAAAATGCATGGAATTTGTTAGTATCATGCTAAAGATTAAGAATGATCTGTGAGGAACGACTTTTATTACATGGAATTTTCGTTCTTTAAGATAAAATTAGGATCAAATTATTGGAATTAAGGTAGTTGGGTATCTCATCATGATTGGTTTGGCTGGTTTATATTCATAGTTGTTACTGAAAACTGACAGACAGATACTCGACTTAGATGTAACTGTTGTGTATGGGTATATATTTGAATTTGGTATGTTTAATTTTTCAAAAGATTTTTTTACATAGTCAGAGAGTTCATATCCATGTTCAAAAATATGTTGCACGCAAGTACTTCCAGAAAAAAGAATGAAGAGTTGGAGTGATATTATTTAGGAAGTGTTAATGTTATCATTTAGGAGACCGGTTGGATAGAAGCTGAGATGATGTTCTTGATTTTTTTGTATTGTATATTCATTTTACATAATCTTAGAAAGCTGTCTTCAAGTCGACAGAAGCATGCAATTAAAATTCAATTATTTTTTTTATAAGAATGAGAGGTCTCGTTAAAAATTCAATTATGAAACTCAAAATTTCACGACTTGTATATTTGTAATGCAAAACATGTTCTACTCTGTCATCTTTTAGATTGTCTTCTTGTTTTTATGTTTTTTTCCTCCCCTTAAAAGTGATACTAATTCCTAAAGTAGATGTAATTTTATAAATTCTTTTTACTAAAAGGTTTAATAGGAAAAAATGGTTCCACAATGTTTGTCAAAATGGTCTCTTTGATCTTTTTTTTTAATATTCTAACTCTTCATATTTCAATTTTTGGTCAAAATAACACATAATAGATAGAATTCATTTTGTTGACTAACGATCAACATATATTATTGACGTGATATTTTTTCACATATTTAATTGATAATGTAACACATGATAGTCATCACTTTAAATGACGTAACACGTATCATGTCATCATATTGGGTGATGATACATGATACATCTTTACACATGATGGTGTGACACATATAATGTCATCACTTAAGATGTTGTGTTACATGTCACATATTTATCATTACCATTGAAGTTTTAAAATGTAATACCTCAAATATTAGGTCAGTGACTATTTTGAAATGATTTAAAAATTTGGAGGATTAAATTGAATAAATGGTAAAGTATAAGAAATGATTTAATTAAGACCAATTAGAAAGAATGGAATAATGAAAGGGCATTTTGGTCCTTTAGAGTGAAATGAATTTAAAATTCATTTTATTAGGGATTTAAGAAAGGTAAAAGGGGGAAAGTTAAAAACTAAACTAAATCATCTACTCTTCTTCTTCCCCCGTGACTGTGCTCTCCTCCATAGCCAAAGATCATAACAAAACTCCTCAGTCAAGCAAGAAAAATGGCAAAGATAAAGTTGTTGAGTAGCCAGATATCATTACAGCTTATTAGCGAGGCTTATCAGGTGAGTGCATTTATAATATTTGTATGAAAGGAGGAAGACTCGCGACGAGTTAATCTCGAATGTTGTGTTAAATGTATATTTTACAATATTTTGGTATATTTTCATAATGTATATAGAAATGATATTATGAATAATTTTTATAGTATGAACTAATCTAAAATGAATGGATGAATGTTAATGTTGTGTTATGGTTATCTATGTTACCGAAATAAATGAAAATGCATAACGGTGCATTATTGGTAGAAAGGTGCCATAAATGAAAATTCATAACTGTGAATTATTGGCAGAAATGTGTAATAAATGAAAAAGCATAAAGGTGCATTATTGACAGAAAGGTGTCATAAATGAAAATGCATAACGGTGCATTATTGGTAGAAAGATGCCATAAATGAAAATGCATAATGGTGCATTATGGGCAGAAAGGTGCCACTCATGGTATTCATAAAAGGTGAATGACCATTTCTACACTTCGGTGCAATCTATGTATCTTAAATTCTTATTTAACATATATTGGGTAAAATAAAGTATAATTGGTAACAAAATACAGGAAAAAATAAGTATGCTTGGCATATTAAGAATGATTTTGATGAATATATGAAAGAAATATGGGTTTAATATGGGTTTAATTGAGATGATTAACTAATTTTTATGAAGTATACGATTTAGTTCGTATTTCAATAGCTATAATGATTATGTATGAATTTTCAATTCATTTTCATTATTATGCCTCACTATGTAAATACTTAACGTGTGTTGATTTCATGCGTAGGTAAAGGTAAAGACTTAGTAGAGTAAGGAGTGCAGCAAAGAACATCAATCCAAGGTTGACTAATCAGTAACTATAGGACAATCATATATTCTTTTGATAATTAGATGGCATGTATATGAATCTAAGAAAAATGCTCTGTAATGTATTTAAGTTATAACTTTGTAATAGTTTAAAATGAATGTTTTACCTTATATTAAAATGTTTTGTTTTAAATTTCAAAAAACCATTTTACAGATTTATAAATAAGAAAATGTTTTTTAAAAGAAGTTATGTGACACTTGTGACATGTGTACGAGAACGTATAAGGGATATGGGTGTTACATTTATTGGTATTAGAGTTATAGGTTTAGCCAATTCTCGGTCGAAATCGGGTTTATCTGAATTTAGAAAAAAGAATTACATGCCATTAAGATTGTAAAGGTTACTGATAGGTTGTCATTAGAGTGTGATTGATGTCACTCCTTACTAACTTTAGTACTATTATGTATGTTCTAGAAGATGTTGGAATCTTCAAACTTGTGAAGAGCGACTAATCGAGAAAATAATAAAGGATCGAGTAGCGAAAGCTATGTGGAAAATATTGAGCACCCAATTCCATCAGAGAACGCTAGCGCACCGACACATCAGGGTATGCCCTTGTCGGAGTTTAGAGCTTTTATTCAAGCTCTCGACGCCATATTGACCTGATTCCAACCTCATCCACCTCCCCTTGCTCCTCCAGTACCGAGGATGTTGATTCCAAAAGAATTGAAGATATTAGGAGCTCCTGAGTTTCGGGGAGAAGAGGATGAAGGTCCTATGGAGGTTGACTTATGGCTAAATGATGTAATGGTAATGCTTGAAAGTCTTCACTGCTCGGATTTGGAAAAGCTGGGTGGAGTTGTATCTTTACTTAGGGGATCAGCTCGAATATGGTGGTTAAATACTATAATGTCTGCACCATCGGAACAAGTGACTTGGAAGTTCTTCCTGGAGGAATTTAAGAACAAGTATGTTGGTGAGCAGTATAGATGGATGATGCTACTGAAGTTCCTTAATTTGAAACAAGGTGATTGAGCTGTATATGAGTTCAAGTACAACAAGCTGAGCCGTTTTTCTACTGAGGTGGTTCCCAATGACAAGGATCGATGTGATTGGTTCATAGAAGGTCTGAGGCCAAAGTTGAAAGAGATGATGTTGGCTTTGAAATTGCTTAGCTTGCAAGAAGTCATAAACCGAGCTAAGGCTATTGAAAGAGCTCAAGAGGAGACCCTAGAAGCGTAGCAGAGTATGCATACGAGAAAAAGAGTTAGAATGCCTTCAACTCCCCATAATGCTAAGAGAGGCAAAGGCTTGAGTTCTAGATATACTGATAGAGATGGTTCTACTGCAGCTTCGCATAAAACTAAATAATCCCAATCTTTACCTGCTAGCTCAGGTAGAGAATTTGGAGAAAGAACTCCATGTCAAACATGTGGTAAATTGCACCGTGGAGTATACAGACTTTTCAGTGGAGCTTGTTTCCAATGTGGCGAGATTGGTCACTTTGCCCGAAATTGTCTTAAGAAATCTGGGGACAATTCGGTGCAATCTGAAAGATATGTGGCAGCCTCTAATAGAAGCAAAGGAAGGGGTAGATCCAGGGGACAATCTGAATCAATGCAGCGATAAGAGACTCGTGGAGTCCCCAAAATTTACAACATTAAGACCAATGAGGATCGGGTTGACACGGAGATCATAACAGGTACATTTCATCTTTTTGATGAGTATGTATTTGTTTTAGTTGACCCTGGTTCTACAGACTCATATATTAGTACAAAGTTGGTTAGAGTTAGATGAATTCCTTTAGAACCAATTGTTAGTGAGATGATAGCGGTAAACCATATGGTCACAGTGCGAGAGTAACTCGGGTATGTAGAAAATGCCCGATAAAGATTCAAGGGATTGTGTTTCCAACAAACTTAATGGATTTGCCTTTCGAGGAGTTTGAAATCATTTTGGGCATAGATTGGTTATCTCCACATCATGGATGGGTTGATTATCGTAAGAAGCGATTATTTCTGAAAAATGCTGAAGGCTCAGAAATTATAGTAATTGGCAAAAAAGCGAAATCACCATCCAATGTGATATCATCCATGACTTCAAGGAAAATGATTTCAAAAGGGTGCATAGATTTTCTAGCTAATATGATAGACACTCGAGTACTAGAAGCGAGATTAAATGATATTCCAGTAGCCAAGGAGTTTTTGGATGTTTTTCCGGAAGAGTTATCGGGTTTACCTCCAGATCGGGAAGTAGAATTCAAGATTGAGGTTTACCCGGGTACCGAACCTGTTTTTATGGCTCCATATCGAATGGCTCCAACGAAGTTAAGAGAATTAAAAGCCCAATTGCAAGAGCTACGCGACAAGGAATTCGTGAGACCTAGTGTTTCTCCTTAGGGAGCACCTGTGTTATTTGTGAAAAAGAAGGATGTGTCTATGCGATTATGCATATACTACCGTTAGTAAATATAGTAATGATAAAGAATAAGTATTCTCTTCCAAGGATTGATGATATGTTCGATCAATTGAAAGACACAATAGTGTTCTCTAAGATAGACCTGAGGTCGGGGTACCACCAATTAAAGATAAAAAAGGATGATATTTCAAAGACAACTTTTCAGACTCGATATGGACACTACAAATTTGTAGTGATGCCATTTGGATTGACTAATGCTCCTGTATCATTTATGGACTTGATGAATTGAGTATTCCAACCTTACTTGGATCAATTCGTGGTGGTATTTATAGATGATATTTTGGTGTATTCCAAGTCAAGAGAAGAACATGATGCTCATCTTCGAGTGGTTCTTCAAACACTTCGAGAAAAGAAGTTGTATGTCAAATTATCCAAGTGT